GCTAAAAAAATCCAATTGCACTTTACATACTTCTCTATTTTTCACCCCACTCTGTAAATAAAACATGTGATTGGAATTTGTTTTGATTTTCTGTTTATATTTCGTTGTTATTTCGTCACCATCATGGCAACCCATAAAGCCCATGTTAAATTTTTGTTAATTTCAAATTCATTTTTTGTGCTTATCTTTGAGCCTATTTTAATTTATAATGGGATTCTGCACACCTACAGGAAAATATCTTTCTAACAGTATGCATAGATTTTCCCTACGACGCACACGAGCTGAGAAAAAAGGTTTTAAAGAAACATGCTTGCCTATTAATATATAGATAGATGGCGTAAAATAGCGTACGTCACTCGTCCAAAATATGTTAACCGGACTCGTATGGTAATCCCGTACTCGATTTCGTCTCACACAGGAACGACCACACTCGTCCGGTAAACACCTATTTTCAGGACTAGTAACGTAATATAATATTACATTAGAGTACTTTCGCACGCATATTATTTACAACCAGGTTTATTTACATTAAATATGTATGGATAATCATTAAATCTATGTTGTTATTTTTTTAAGCATGGTTCGCAACGTAATTTGTACTTAGTTAATGCAAGTTTCCTAAATATTCAACCATTTTAGAGAGAAAGCAAACGTTGCAATAACATACAAGAGCATACTATAAATAAAAGGCACAATTTTATCATACATATTATTTTTAGATAAATCAGATACTACTTTTGATACATTATACTACAACTGTATCTTTTGTTACACATTGAAATTATTCAATTAAATGACAAATTTAGCTGAAAATACATCCCTGAATTACACCTATTATCATATATATTCTAAAAGGACAATATAATACATAACATACTCGGTTCACAGTACTTTTCAAACTATCGGTGACCAATAGGCTTAGGATGATTTTGTCTTTTTTATCTTCATACAGAGTGGAATTACAATAAAATGTCAGAACACATTTTGTATAATATTCTAAAAATATAACCCAAAGTAATGTTTTCCATCCAAGGTCGGATTGGTTTCAAACTCGTGAAATATGATAATACAAAATCGGACAATGGGTTTCTTGCCACTGTCACTAAATAGTTTAAATAAATAACAATTTTATGAACAGTGATTATACTGTACTGAACTAACTTGATTTTAATTGAGCCCAGAACCAAAAATGTTAGTGATGTTGAACTATAATCTTAACATGGATCCAGTAATATAAGTTATAAACCTCAATAATTGAATACCTAATGAATTGATTAAAATTTGTAGTCAATAATTAAATTTGTTTGTCTGGTGTTTTATTATTATAAACTTTCTATTAATAAAACACGAGTAGGCCATAAGTAGTAGGAGTGTGACGGCGGGTCTGGGCCCAGATGATCAGCTGATGTCCATTATTGATCTGCTGTCTACCATCCATTGCTAAGGTGCTGCGGCCTAGCGGTGAAACCACAAACCTAACCCGCGGAGTTGCTGCCTGTTCCGCTAGGTAGTGCACGCTGACCATTCTCAACGTTTTGTTTTCTTTCAATACTAGTGTACAGTACCTGTTGCTCGAATTCGAGCAATTGCGAAGCATTACATGCGACTCAAATATTATGGAAATACTCACGATCTACACAACAGTTAGATATAATCAAAATCTTTTGTAAATATCTTATCTTTTTTCAAAAATCTGATCTTGTTTTTTAAGTGTTTTTAGTTTAAAAAAAAAATTTTTCTATTTATTTTATTTGGTCGTGTTCTATGACTTTTTTTATGTTTTCATTGTTTGCAATTCGGTTATTTCAATGATTGCTCAAGAAATGTAGCACAGTGTTAATTCAGTTTTATTTTTAGCCTATATCAAATTGTCCAGGATTTCTCGCTCTTTTCCATTGTAATAATTACACCAACCCATGTTTCGTCTACAGATGCAATATGCCAAAGAATATCACCTACGTACAATCTCCAAGAAGTGGTAAAAAAAAGGCAGAAACCAAGCCATACAATGGATATAAGTTAACTCCATAAGAAATAATTTTAAGAGTTACTGTGATATTAGGATTTTCCACTGATTTGGTAATACAACATTATATTGCAAAACATGACACGATGCAGAATAAAATTGATTTTAAAATTAGAAAAACCCATTGCAAATACTGTACTGTACTTCATTTTTAACCGACTTCCCCACTACCAACAAAAGGAGGAGGTTCTCAATTTGTTTGTGGCGATGTTTTTTTTTTCTATGTATGTTCACCAATTTTTCTGTGATTCTTTTACCGATCAGTGTGGTTCCACCACCAAAATAACCAGGAGAGTTTCTATTAGGTACCTTATATATTATGTTTAAGTATAATATTTGTTTCGGTGAAAAATTCTGAAAACTTGAAATATTCAACATTTATTTTGTTTACATTTGTGCAGATTGTTTACATTTGTGCAGAGAAGGCAATAAATAATAATAACATTCCTACAGCTGTTAGTTGAAACCATTTAAATGAAGCTACAGACAATTCTTCACGAAACAGTTGCTCCATATTGATCAATAAAATATTTCTTGCCATGGAGCCTAAATGAATTACATTGAGAAAAATGCATTTTGTTTTGGTTACTATAAAACATGTATTTTAACGTTTGACCTTATTTGTGTATACAGTAATTCTGTTTTTAGTATTGAATATTCTGACTTACAAAAACATATATGTTTCAGTGAATAGCTGTATGATATTGACAAATAAAGGTGTATTGTGAAAACCAAAGCATTCGTAAAACAGGTCTAAATATAAATTAAATGCAATTATTCCTTATACGACTTAAGAAGTGTGACGGTGTATAATCGTCAATTGTCTTAAAAGTGTTAAATATTTTAATTACTAAACATGCATTTGCAGATGTGGAATGTTTATTGATATTCTCTACCCAGTTACTATATCATATCAATAGGCCTACTATTATGCCTGCTTCGGAAAGTCATAGAGGAAGATGATTTGCAATCTCGCCTAGGCTATATCTTGATCAAACAAAACCACCTACATGGCTTGCACCACTTTTAGCTGAACCAATCTTTCATATAATATTTTCCAAAGGTACTATACGTGTTAACGACCAATTTTCCACTTTTGAGAGATTTTTTAGTGCTGGTAGCTGAGGAATAACTTTCATATTGTTCCAAAAGGCTTGAGACGTTACTGTATTTCTTTTTATAATGTAGAAGTACACCGATTGCAGGAAACGATGATGTCTGACATTTCAATGTATCTAGAAAAGACAATTAGTTTTTCATTAGACCTAATGTAATGGACAACTCTTTCTTTCTTAAGGAATATCTAAAAATGTTTATTTTCATACCCATTGATTATGTAACCAGAACAGGTGACTCAAGCAGTTTTAAAATAATGATTGTTCTGTGGAACCTTTGATTGTTTTAAACAGTTTTGCTTACCAAAAAACCTCAAGTAATTAATATATAAAAAAAATATACAGTCACTAAAAATCATGAAATAATTTGTTTTTGTAAAAAAATACAACCGACTTCAAACGCTCTAAAAAGAATGAAATAATTTCAATAAAGTAAACTTTTGTATTAGGCAAGCTCACGTATTTCAAGTCGGCGCTCAAGCAAATATGATTGAAATTAAATATTGTGTGTGTATTTTGAAAATCAATAAATTGTAGCTGGATAACATAAATATATAAAAAAAACACACTGAACTGTTTTGTTTATATATTAAAGGAAATATTTTCTTGTATTTTATGTTTACTTCAGAATAAATGCATTAACACACACAAATGTTCTATATGAATAGGAAAATAATTTGGTTTTATATTATGATAGGGAAAAGAAGCTAGTTTAGTATTAAAACGTTACTTTTCCAAGTTAGAAACATTTAAATGTGTTATAATCTTTTTAAAGATACTCGTTAATACCACTATAATGCCGATCTCTGATTACGGTAATAAAATAACACTTAACGCATAACTATGAAAAAGACATGCAGATTAACACATTTAGTTATAGTCACCTGCAATATGGACACCCTCTTTCAAATATGTATCAAAAATCATCATAGAGCCGCGCCGACTTAAAATACGCGAGCTTGCCTAATACAAAAGTTTACTTTATTGAAATTATTTCATTCTTTTTAGAGCGTTTGAAGTCGGTTGTATTTTTTTACAAAAACAAATTATGAAAAATTCAATAAATCACAATTTAAATATTAACAGCTGTTTCATTAAAAAGTAGTGTAGAATTATGCATATGGTAAACAAATTTGAAGAGGCAACTTTAAAGGCTTCTGGGGCAGAGCCCCAAGGAAATTTACCTCGTTCCTCTTTTGATGGCTCATCTATAGACCAAGACCTTTCTTTAGAGACCCCTACCAAGTTTCTACGCCCAGCCGTTCTCTCAAATTAGCTGGGACAAAAACCCAGTTTTTCCTCCATAAGAATAACATGGGATGGGAATTCAAAGGCCACTAAGGGAATTTACCACGTTTCTCTTTTGATGGCTCATCTACAGACCAAGACCTTTCTTTAGACACCCCAACCGAGTTTCTACGCCCAGCCGTTCTCTCAATTTAGCTATGACAAAGAAAAACAGTTTCAAATTAATATATAGATACTTTTTTTGGGATGATAAAACCATAAAAACGGGGTCGAGCTTAAGTATTTGTAATTGTCGAGCATAAATGTATTTACCATTATAGTTTGTATAAGGACATGTCTGTAGGGCAAAACCTTTGACAATGTAAAGGCGTCTGGAAAATTCGTCAGAAATTAAATGTCACAAGTTACGGGCACGAGATGGTAAGGATCCTTAAAGGGCCAATAAATTAGAAAAAGGGTTACAACTGAACTTCTACTGATTAATATATGTTATGTGATTACTTCAGTTATGTGTGAGAAGATATTAATACCTCCAGCTTTACGTCTATTGTTCATTTGCGATCACTTCTCTGTTCCACCGACATGTACCAACCAAAATGTTTTTGTTTCAGTTTCGACGTGGAAAATGGCGCTTCCCCGGGCAGGTCGCCGCTGGACGGTGGGGCTTCGCCCTCCGCGGGCCTCGTGCTCCAGAACCTACCCCAGCGGCGCGAGTCCTTCCTCTACCGCTCCGACTCCGACTTCGAGATGTCGCCCAAGTCCATGTCCAGGAACTCCAGCATCGCCAGCGAGAGGTGAGTCCCAGGACCTAAGTCTGTCTAATCAGTACTTGTTTATTTCCTTACACTAATTAGTGGAAGAAAGTGCCCAGGAGATCTCGGCATTCGTGTATGTCTGGCGCCTGATCATACAACTGACTCAGTCTACTATTCATCTCTAACCACTGATGGGGTCACATTTTACTTATTCATTAGAGATTCGACTTTACAGCATTCGTTTCAATTGCTTAATCAGTTCAGACAAATATTTTAAAAGTCACCATTAAAACAAATAAGCGACGACATATTATGGTAGACACAATAGTAATTTATATAGAAAACCTTATTACTATTTAGCATATACTAGTAGGTTTTCAATCTGTACCTCCATCTTCAAGGTATGCTGATAAGAAATGCATTAAAATTATCAGGATTCTTGACGGTTTTCAGCTCATATTGCTTTTTCATCTACATTGTTTTTTTCCCAAGGATGTATCATAGAGCACAAAGATCTACTACTGATGTACCGTCAAGAATGGATTAGTTTATAAGCAAAGTGTTTGCAATGTTTTTAACCATGAAGCTTATTTATAGATTTCTATCATATTCAATTATTGAGACATAAAAGTTGTTTAGGCCTAAGTAATTTGTTTTATTTTGTAAGGAATCATGTATTTCATAGTACAGTATGGTCAATTTCATTAGGGCAATAATAACATTATTTAGCTTTATGAAACATGTATCATCATTCTTGTATATTTTTACATTGATTTGCTTTATTGTAGACAAATGGGTAGACACGCATAGAGTCAGGATGTAGACATGTAGTTGAGTTTAATCTGTAGACAAGTAATAGAGGAAGAATTTAAAAATTAACAATAACCCTTGACAATCGTACATTTTGAGATATTTGGTCACAAGATGTCGCTAGTTGCAGAGTTGTCACCCAGGTTGTGCTCAAGTACAAATACAAATCGATGCAGCTCTTTGCTCCGCAACTAACCTGTGTTGCTTCGTACCTTTGTATATACTTAGCTTATAACATAGAATAAATATAAAGACTTATATGTCAGGTAAAAGAGTTTATAAAAAACTAAACTACACTCCTTTTACTCGTATATACAGAACAAATAATAAAGAACAACCTAATCTCCTGTTGTAAATGTGATTTTTTATTTACTCCCTAAAAGTTTTAGCAAATTGATAATTTAGTTTGAAATTTGTATATAGCTTCAGCATCGAGGCATAAAATGTCCTCAAATACAAATTTGGCAAGGAAGTGAAGTTAGTAAACTAAGGATAAATTAATATGAAGCAATTCATTAAAACACAATAATTAAAAATATACGTAACACACATTTGATAAAGTTGTAAAAAATCAACGATGAATGATTTATAGTTTCTGATAAGTTGAAATTCCAAGTCAGAAATTAGACTCAATTTCCTTGTATGTATAAATGGAAGTTTAACATAACATAACTAAATAAACTCTATCGATTCAGAAATCAATAAACCAAATCGCAGTACCGTATACTTACAGTACTAATTAGGCTAAATCATAAAAACACCCCCGTTAAACAAATAGGTATTTATTAAAATGAGGAAATAACATGTTGTTTAAAGTAATGTTGTACTTTTCACATTAAACTAAGTATCTCTTAGAGCCTGTATAGCAACATTTGCCAAGAATCTGTTCTGTAAAGCTATTTTAACGCAAATGTAACTTAGATTTTTTTCTTAACGAAATCACAGGTTAGGTTAAAATAAAAACACTTTCGCCATACTCCTATAACTATGCAAAGACAAATGTCCAATGCAAAAAGGGGTACAAATTAGCATACCTTTACTTCTGTTCAAAATTCTAAGTTAAAACAAATAAACAGCTTTCAAATGTTAAAGCTAAATACTTTAAACTACTTGTAGTACAAATGAATGGAAGTAAAAATTACGAATCATTCATTGTTGAAGATAATGGAATCACAGAATGCCACAAACGTTCAATGTAAAATGCATTAGCCATAACTCGCAGGTGGATCCGAACTTTGTGAAGAGCACTTAGTCCCCCCCTATAAAACCCCCCTTATATCAACATCACACTAACCCCCTGCACAATACTGGCGGTGTAGTACATGCCGACACATGAATGAATGAATGAATGAATCCTTTATTATTTCAGTACAGTACATCAGTTAAAATGGTACAAAACAACGATTTATGAAATGTAATGGTTATATATGTATGAAATATATTTTTCACATGGATATGTGGTGGGATTATAACTAGGAAAGTCATATAAATTACTTATCTAAAGTATCCGTCGGTTCTATCTTAGCTAAACATCTTACGTACTTAAATATATGTTCATGAATTCACTACAAAATGCCATCATCAGTTAAATTTAAAATTGCATGAAATATTAAATATAGGCTACTTAAAAAGTTCTGTAGACTCTTTGAATTTTCAACTTGTAGATTAAACGGTCAGTTTTAATGTAAGTTTGGTAAGCTTAGGTCAAAAATCTGTATTATTTGCTTTCCTGTGTAGACATGTATAATAGAAACTTAATATTTTCTCTGATAACGAAATAAACCTGACCAAAAATGACTCTACTTGTATTGAAAGGTGTTGGGAACATCTTTCGAAATCTAGCATTAAAATTATCCTGTGCAGAAAACTTAAATCCAGAGGTTGTATTATCAATGTACATTCTATGTCGAGTTTGTATAGCGATAAACCCTCTTCCTAGCAAACCCCGATCCGTTATCTTTGCAATATACCCCTTATCGGAGTCAATATATTCGTTGTTTAACATCAAGTGTTAGTGATTGGGGAAGTGGCTTCCTGTCAAGGTGTTTGTGATGATGCCTCGACTGATCAGAATACAGATTCAAAATTATAGGGTTTCCAAACATTTATGTTTTAAACTCAACTAAACAGACATCTGTTTTATAAGGTCAATATTTAATACTATCTTCTCCAATGTAATTTCCAATGTAAACTATGTTCTTATGCCTAATTTGCATTTAACTTGCCTCGCCTTATGTCAGACATGCAAAATGTTCTTCAATGTTCAAATATGTAACTGTTCTATGAATTGCAAAAACCCACTTTTTACACATTCGTATTTCGTTCATGAAATGGGTCTAAAATAGAACTTGGCTAATTTATATTTCGCAAGTAGTAAGAAATTGTAAAAAAAACCTTAAAATTAAAGTGACTTCGATTGGAGGAATTGTGATGAATCTATAATGTTTAGGTATTAACATTGATCACACATGCTTTATGTAAGATTGTATTGGGCAGAAAATTGTTCTAAAAATTAAGTGATAAATGAAAATTTTCCTGGTTAACGTTTTCTTTGCATATTTGGTAATGTATTCGAATGTCCAATAGGCAGTTGTTACACTAAGTTTAAGACATGGACGTTTAAAATATGGTTACACGTACCATGGCACGTAAAATGATTTACTTTCCAAAGCAAAAGTGTACAACATCTAAATAAACATAACTGTACATAATATATGTTGTCTAGATGTATTGTAGCTGTACATATCTTATACTATTGCTTTTAGTTCGCTTGTTGCTAAAATGTTGTTAGTTTTTTTGGGAATATGTTATTATCTCGTAGATAGGCACTGGTTAGGGCTAGAATTTGAAACCATGTAAAGATAATTATTCAAAGAATATTGTTGTTACTATGGTATCTTTTTTAGATTAATGATGTAAATGACTTCTTGATCAGCATTATACGAGTAATTAAATTAACGTTTAGTTAGTTATATTAATTCTATGGTTAGCATATGTATATAACAAGTAGTATGTATATAACATCATAGTTCTAAATGGTGCCCGGTAATTCTTAAGAACCACACAAACGTTGTTGTAGATCTAGTTCTACGGAATATTATACTTTGGAACTACACTTCTCAAAATTAACCCTTGCAATAGTAAAACGCATTTAGAATATTTCGATCAGTGTTCATCTTAAAACGTAAAACTAAATGGTTTTAAAATCATGAGGCCAAAAAAATAATTTGAACCATACATTGACGGATTTGATTCCACAAAACTAAATTTTGACACATTGCAATCAACACACAAAATCAATAAATCCAAATATTTCCTTGGTTCGCATCTACCACTGAAATTTAATATATTTTAGTACAGATTATAACATTACAATTGTTAATCTTTTTCACGGCCTTGAGCTATTTTTAACCTTGCGTTTGACCGTCCTTGTTAATGGGCTTATACAACTAATTCTTTTACCTCACAGTATGTAATGAATGTGACGTAGTTACAATCATAATAATGCCATATTGGTATAAAATTGCAGCTCTTTGCTCGATACCACAATAGTACAACATATTTAAAATACTGTAGCTATGTGTACACTAATGGAAAATGTGGTGCTAGTTGCTGCATACTTTTTACAGGTATTTGTTCAACTTGGTTTACTTTTCTGATTTTTATATTGTTCGCTGTGCATTTGTAGTTGTATTCTTGTAATATTTTTATTATTTAGATAGTGGTCAACTACGTATATCCCTACTCATACACATTCAACATTCACACGCAGTTCGCTATCTGCATTCTCTGCCCAACGTGTGTATTCAGGGGTTCATACGATGTACATATCACCTGTACAGTAAATGTGTACTTGTAGTGGATGTGTATTGTGTATTCTTACGTGTCCGTGTGTATTTCAGATTAAAGGAGGCCGAACCAGTTATAGAGAGACCGTATGTACTTTGTATGGGTTTTGTAGATGCTTGCATTGTGCCTGTTTGTACCCTGTCCCATGTCTAGATTAGTTGAATGTTCCATGCATTTCTGAGCGTGAACTGTGAGAAATAAGGTGAGAGATGCCACAATGCAGGAAGAAACTTTGTTTAAATGTATGCAACTGTAACAAATATTAAGAAATAATTTTTTCCCCTAAAAGCCTTTTATTAGAATATTTTCAGAGTCTCGTCGTAATTCAATAATGTTTAATGGTTCTACCTAGAAAGAAACGAAATTTACATAGATACTATAGAATACAAAATTATTACAAATATTCGAAGTAATAAGTAAATTAGCTTTACTCATATTAGATTTTTACTAAACCACAGTACATTTCTCCATTTAGTTCCAGTGCATTCAAAAAGTATTGTTTATTAAATCGAGTGATTTATTCAATACATATTAACAAATATTTGTTAATTTCTTAATTTCTAGATTTAATTATTCATTAGTTGTAAAATTAGCCTTAGTAATAAAATATAACTGGTTTAAAGATTCTCATTATTTGTTTGAAAAGCTCTAAGGTCCAAAGTAAAAAATGTAGAGTTTTGTCAATCACGCTATTCCCAAAAATATAGGTAAATAGTTTATAACTTAACTAATAAAATGTTAAATTGGTAATATAGTACGAAATTGAACACGGAAAATAAAAAAGTTCGGTTTCATATAAACCTTTTGAATTAATTTATTTGTGAGTTCAGATTGTTTATATTTTATAACACATAGTTAAGACACGTATTTTTCCATCTATATGGCTATTAGCCTCTTGATAGACTATGTTTTAGCATGTTTGTCCCACACATTAAGTAGGAGTGCAGTAGATGTTAGATAATTCCTTATGTTTGTTTTTGTCCACTCGCATGATTTTATCTGTTGTTGTCATCAGATATTTGTTTACATTCTAAACCAATTGAAACATTTTAGAAAGATTTATTTCCTTAATTAGCATTTATAATTTAAGTTTTTTTAAGACTTAGTAAAAAAAAAATTTCAAGTAAAGTTATATTAGAAGCATTAACGTACGAAAATCACAGATATCAAAATACAAAAATGTAACTACACTTCTCTAGTAGAAACAACTAGCACTATAAGTTGTAAGATTTAAAGGACGATTTACTCACAATTTTCTAATTTATTTTTCGACCAGCAGAAAGGTAAGTGCTAAATAATTAGTAGTTGTTGAGTTATTGTCCGTACTACATGATACCATACAATCCCTCAAGATGTTACCTACACCTATACCCTTTCATGATATTGTACATGGCCGGAAGATGAGACATGCTAACCTAAATGAGAAATTGTCTTAAATATGGTTGGATTCTTGTGTATATAGTGGAAGCGATTTCTCTACCCTATCCGTTAAAATATTGGGACTTGGATAGTGGTTGTTGTCAGTAATATTGTAATTTTTCTCTACAATTAAACATATACGATATGATCGAAACGAGTAAAAGATTTGAACTAGGAATTGTAGTGAGTTAATAGTGCTGTTATTCGTAAAGCGGTAAAAAATGTAGGATTTTGGATCCGTGCATCCTTATGAAAATTTAGTATAGTATGCGTTATATTTTATTGTGTATCAATGTGATCCATCTGAATTCACGTACTGTTAAATGACAGTCTATTTAATTGAGAAATATTTAAAAGATAAAAAGATGTTAAAAAAAGTATTGTAGAACAATTTTTTTATATATATATATTATATAAAATTGGTTGGCCTAGTATTTACAAATTTAAAAATTGTCCTTAAATAGCAAATATAAAATTCAAACCACTTCAAATAAAAATAAACTACCTACCTAACGTTTCAAGAGGTAGAGTCATGTACAAATTAATGTGAGAAGATAATTTATTCCCAACTAAGAACAGTGTCTATTTTCAGCCAATGCTGTAAGGATTAAATGATTAATTTTCATTAAATGATGTTTTTGTTTGTGTTTCAACGCCATTTTTCTAGTTTTTATAAGGTAATTTTCACGTTTTTTTTAGGGAGCAGCACAAACCATGTTCGTTTTGCTATATAACCTGTAACCAACGAAAACAGAAACATGTCGACAAAGATAAACATATAACTTAATATTATTGATAGCCTAATGGCAAATCGTATCCTGGTCCATAATCTATCTCGCTGGAATCGAACCATCGACCTTCAGGCTAGAAGGCGAGTACTACAATCACATAAAAGTAAATACAATATTTCCAATCCGCCGACTCAAATTTTGGGATAGATTCTAGTAAAATTGTAACTTAAAGTCCATACACAATGCTTACACTTCTTATCAGTGTGGTCAACGTCGTATCAATGGATCTATGGCAGGACCGCGGTTGTGCTAGGGCAGTGAAGCTGCGCGTGGACTCTGCGCAGCGCCCCTCCAATCATATGTTCGCTCCCGCCAAGCCGCCAAACCCTCAGTAGTTGCTGCCGGTCTTCACAGAGCGCGCACGCGACGGTGGTGGCTGGTGTGGTGATCAATGAATACTATACAGTAACTTGAACATGTGATAATTGGGCAAGTAAGGATCGGAAGTGTTGTCAAGTTTTTTTGGAGGAATTCGTTATAAATATTAAAGTTTTCCTATTCCGTTATTAGGCTGTGATAACTAAAATGTAGAAGTTTTTGATAGGCCTAAATTTTACCCGGCTTTACTCTGTAAGATATGGACATTTAGTTGTAGTAATTTCCTCAAGCTTTTAATCAAAATATTTACGGATATTAATGACTTTGATTGTGTAAATGTTTTATGATTGTAATAATGGTTTAAATTAAGCCCCTAAAATATGCTAAAACTCTCTTGTTTAAGTAATATGAAATTATGAAAATAACTTGGATAAAACGATAATTGTTGCAAGGTTTGGTTAATACTTAATAGTTATATGTTATTTGGGTAATATTGTAAGATTAAATACGAATCTTGTGACTAATATATTGACTAAATCATGAATTGACTGTGTTTATTTGAGCACACGTTAAAAATAAAAATTCACAACAGTGTCTACTGATTTGTACAAAATACTTTACAAGAATATATTGGCTAGTAGATTAGCATCAATGAATATAATATATCACATTAAATTTAAAGTTTTGCTAAAAAAATGTAATGCAAAATTTGTCAAAGTTCACAATTAAATTATATATTTAAATATTGCTGTAGGACCTAAGTAATTTACAACCCGTCCAAATCGTAGGTCCCTCTAAAATCAAACCAAAATATGCACCGTATTTGTATGTTTGAATTTTAGTTGTACTGTATTTTCTTGGAAATATTCATTACCAATTACACCCAGTTATAAACAATAAATAATTGTAAACATATTTCCCCCCCCCCCAGTTCTTAAAAATTGCAATTTAAATTTTTTTTAGCATTGTCTTAAAACACTAAAAATAATTCCTACAGTTAAAAGCATAAATAAAAGTTGTCTATTGTCTGGAAAAACAAAACCAATGAAAATCCAAGATGCAACATTGTTCTGAGAAAGAAAATGGAAATTTATGATATTTAGAGCTCTATAGCTGCCCCTGAGACTGCTCTTTACAGAAACTACTTTCTCTTTACCTTGGTGGATTCAGTCTTTTTTTCTCTTTAGAATAAAAGCCTAAACTATTTGTGCTAGGCCTGACACACTTAAAACATATTTTCACAAGCTGTCTATTATCTTAATAAAATGTATATTTGAAAATATTTGTATGAATGTGAAACCAACGTAGCCATTAAAGCGTTTATTATAACCATTGCAAAATCGTAAATGAAATATCATAACTGAAAAGTTGAAGCAGACATGTAAAGGGGCATTTCATCGTCATTATTCATTTTTAAACCGTTAGGTGTAATGTACTGTTATTAGGTATGAGACACAAATACTTTAATACGTATGAATGAATTTTTAAAGTAAGTAACATATAAAAATTACGTTGTTCAGCTAAATAAAATATTTTTTTACATTCAACCGTATAATAGCAACGTGTTTACTATTGATTGGTTTGGTGATTAAAATAGACAAATTACAATACAATGAATGAATTCTTTGTCTGTGTATTTGAGGTTTTCGGGATATTCTGCATGATGAGCCAGCTTCTGGATTCTCAGAGGTCCATTTCTGGACGTCACGTGGACGACGGTAATAGCAATCATGTGCTTGTACTGAGACTGAGAGGTGTAGGCGAATTGGTGGGAGGGGGAAGGTGTGCAATTCGTGGATCTGTACACTGTACAACTAATGCACGGATATAACATTGTTACAATATTTTACATTGTAACCCGTTAGAACATTCAAATCCTAGAAGTTTAAGTCATAGTAGAAAAATTAAGATATTTCAAGTGAAAATTGAGGTAGTTGGTGCGTGACAGTACAAACCTTTTGAAATACAATTATAAGAATTGATAAATTCAATTCGCCACTGTGGGCACATCCATAAATTCCGTTAGAGAAACAAGAAAATGAGTCCTTACTAAAATAATGTTCATAAAATGCCTCAACGTTTTGTTGCAATAATCGTCGTTGTAGTCAAATTCATCTTACCTTAATATAACGCCTCAAATCTTAAAAATTGGATTTCAATATTACAGTATTACCTGGAGTATAACGAAATTCTAAATACTAACAGTAAAATATTTATGAGCTTATTTCCTCTATTATCAATTTAGTAAGGCAAATTAGTACTGTATTCGATAAAACAATATATAGGGGATTTTCATTTTATATTCAAGCATATTATATTTATAACATTCAAATCACTGATTCCCAATGAGAGTGTCACATCGGATTTAATGTGCATTCGTCCAAAACTAACAAGATATTTCGTCCACCCTACGAAATACAAACTCTTTATATTTGGAAACCTCCATTTTACAAACATTTTCACTACGAGTTGTTATTTTTAAAGTAAAACCAATATAAAAATTACAGCATGCCCAGTAAAAGTTCAAGGAGGTCAAACAATTCAGCATTACTAAGACG